AAAAAATGCCTCTAACACTAGCTTACTTTATTCTTTGTCTATTCTGTTTTCTTTTTATTTATTATATAATTTAAAAAACAACTTGCTATGTGTACTGCGTTAAGCTAACTGAGACTTGTTATAGCACTTGCAAATCATTGCTCTTTTGTTGATTTTGATTGTTTCCATTGTCCTCATTTGTAAGTCGCTTTGGATAAAAGCGTCTGCTAAATGACTAGGCTAAATGTAAATGTAATATATATATATATATATATATATATAATTCACAAAAAAGTGTTTTGTACAGATATTCTAAAATATGTTGCTAAAATATATGTTCAGTTTTGTTGGCTATTGTACATATTTTAACCAAAATGAAAATCGTCATGTAAGTTTGATCTGTTTTCAGTAAAATGCTTTGATGTTTTTTATTAATTCATTAAATTAATTCAGTGGTGATCATTGATACGTGCGGGCACATCCCATGGGGCTGAAACAACGGCTATTGTTTTCTGCACGCAAACGTGCTGAGCTCTAATTTATCAGAGCAGGTGAGTCAAACTTCTGACGTGGATTGTTCTGCTAAGACAAAAATAACCTTTTGTTTGTTTATAAACCATCTCTTCTGCTGATTACTCTACTACAATACGTGACTGTAATCATTGCATCCTTTAGGAAGACATGCTTGTGTTAGGATGAAGACTTTCATCATTGTAATGGAGTGTAACTCATTGAATCTCATTTCTGATTTGTTGAACACTTCTTTTTTTGGTCACTACAGAATTCTCACACTTCCATTGTGTTAATCCATATCATGACATTGGATAAAATAGATTAGAATTAAATGTATGTACTTTTTAATCAAACAAGCAAATATATGACACAATTTAGCTTAGAGGACAGAATTAATTCTAATTCAAACATAGAGTAAACACATTTGTGTAGAGTTAAAAACTGTTTAGTTACTGATACATAGTAGTCATGACACCATCTTCAAGGGTGTAATACATTGATCAGATTTAATCTTAATAAATGGTTTTAAAAAATGTATAGTTCCAGACATGATGCAGATGTGCCTGGCACAAGGAGTGTGTTTTTAAAAGCTGAAACATTTGGGTTTTCTCTCACGAATGGAAATGTAGTTGTGTTATTTTGCAGCTATTAAGCAGTTTGGTTAGTCAGCAAGTTTTCTTTTTTTCACGATCTTAATTCATGATCTCTTGTAGTGCTGGGTGGTATGACCAAACATTTATATCACAGTATTTTTCAAAATTATACCAGTTTCACGGTACATTACTTTTTTTTTTCATGCATGACCCATGCATCTACACTAAAGTGCGGCTTTGCGGTTGTTTTGGCTATATTACTTTTTTGTCTCATGCAGCACACTGCCTGTGAGTAACAAACTAAAAAAAACAACAAACAAAAAAGTGCATGTGACATTAACAGAAGAACTACGCTCATATTTATTATTCCAAACAATCAGTAAGCGACAGGTGCTTGGAAATGCTGTTTTGTACTCATTTATTGACGACTCGGCTGCGGTGCGGCCAACTGAATGCGCTGCTTCTCTGGCGCTCACTGCACAGAACAGAAGCCGAGAGAGGTGGCACTTCTCCGTGAAAGTCAGACCTCGTGTTCGCGGGACAGCACTGATGAAATCTTCCAAACGAACCATAGCTTAGGTTTATCCAAAAAAGTCTCTAGGTTTTTTATGTATGAATATTCTATGGAAAAAAGCCACTAAAAGGGTCTGAAAGTTGCTAAATCTAGTGCTAAAGTCGCGCTCGTGTGTGTGAGATGCGGGAGCTGATGGCAGGGGGCGGTGGATATTTGTGGCGGTCAATGTGGATATTGTGTATGAAGTTCTTCTGTGTCATCTCGTTCTATTAGTTCTACAGCTTCAGTTTCGGAATTTTCACACTTATACAGCTGTTCCCTCAACACAGTGCAACAGTGAAAAGGGACCCCTTTCAAACAGTGTCGTGTTCCGAATGTTGTTTAAGCGACGTACACCGGTATTCGGTATGAACCGGTATACCGCCCAGCACTAATCTATGGCATCCATATAATATCAGCCCTAAATAGTATTTGAAATTAGAATTTGTGTATCCCAAATTGTAGTAGGCCTTCTGAAGTGATTATCCCAGAGGTACCCAGAAGGTTTACTTTTTCTGGAGGAAATTGGGAGTGCAGATCCATGCACGCTCTTAATCGTTAATTTTGCCCCCAACACATGGACCCTTTTCACAGAATGTGATGACGTGTTTCAGTGATCATCAGCATTGTAAATCATGTAACGTTTGATCAAATGTAAGGTGACTAGACGTGCCACTTCCCGGGGAACACTTTACACAATTTTGAAATCCTGGGCAGAACGTGTCCCTAGGAAATGGCACGTCTGGTCACCTTAATCAAGTGGGAACGCTAAAATATCCCGTTCACCGCTATAGAAGTTTACTTTGACGACTTCCGCTTCAGAGAAACTCGTAAATGTGAAAAGGGTTAATTGCGTGTTGGACAAGGATTCGATTAGAAACAGATATTGCAGATCACCCGACGCACACAAAAAACATTCAAGAGTACAGAAACTTATAGCACTTCCTCCTGTATTTTGGTTATATTATTTCCACTCAAAATTCCCTTTTTCCTGTTGAATATAAATGTAATTTTGTTTCTTTTATATGATTGTATCTATTGTTTTCTCGTTTTGAGTCAAGATGTGTATGATTTTTAAGATTTGTTTAAGAAATGCATTGTCCTTTTAAGAGTATATCACTACTCAGTTCACTTCCTTCGAAGCCAAGAGAAGTTTGTTTCATGGTTCATACTGTAGAGGCATTAAACGGTAATATTACTGACATTTCATGACATATTTTGAATTGAAGTGGTTTCTTGTTCTGTTAAACATACTTTGCGATGTGGGATTATGAAAATTTATTTGCGAATGATTGTGATTGTGAGTGAGATTAGTGCATATTAGCATGCTTTATCACTTTCCATTTGCCAACATGTATTATTAAATGGAGAGAGTCCCAAAATTCATGTTTTCAACATATTTCCCATTTATGCAGGTATGTTATTTTGTTTGCAATCTTTGTGATTTATGCTATGTTATGTCATGTTATGGTTATTCATTTTTGTCTTAACTCAATGTATGTTCCTATATTAAGTCGCTCACTCAGTTCACTTTCTTCTGAGCCAAGATAAGTTTGTCTCGTGGTTCATCGAGTCATTATTATTAAATGGAGAGAGTCACAGAATTCAAGTTTTTGAACTAACTAAACTCAGTTTCAATGTTTGTAGAGAGAGTTCATTCAACTTCATTCAAACACGCAACTTTTATCTCTCTCTCTCTCAGAACGGCCATATTTGAGGGAAAAAAAGTTGTCTGCATCACTGGATATATAGCTGTCGGTCATTTAACAGTTTTTTTCCATCAAATTTCCATCTCTTTTCCTGCTGGAATTCGCGCTCTGCTTCTGTGAACAGTAAACCCATCTACTTTGATTTGATTGGCCAGCTCAATTATTTTGACATTAATGACCGCTGTGGCAGACCAGGCTGATAATGTAACTTTTAAAGCTTTTTGTCATCCTAACAACAAGCATAAGGGAGAGCAGCAGATCAGTGCAAGAATTTCAAGTATTAGGGGGGACAGTTTGGCAATTTTTAATTATTGTGCCTCTGCTTGCTAATGTTGGTACACGTGCCATTGCCGACCCCTAGTAATGGTATGCAAAGTCCCTTTATTATATATATATATATATGAAGAGTTAATTTGCAAAAACCGATAACTCCATTTTTATTTTATTTTTTATTGCGCATTCCAAGTAGCCTAATATCAATCAAACTGCAGTTGGTTTGTTTTGATTAAGTAATAATAACTTAAACAAATACAGGTAATTTACAAAATTAAAGTTAATTGAAAGTATGTTTTTTTTTTACATATTAAACGTTTGTTTTATAGCAAAAGCAGATAACACTCTAACAGTCGTTTTTTGGCAAAAGCAGATAACTCCACGTTTCATGTTTTAGAGTTTTAAAAAAAACACTTCTTTGTAATCTCCTCAGATGACAATGTAGATGCCTGACAAACGTTGTTGTTGTTGTGATCATAAACTGTATGGATGCGATTCCACGCAATACACAGAGCTTTTCCCTCACCATTGTAACGCGCTGCTTTTGCAAGCTTCCGTGAAAACATTTCAGCTTTTATTTTCCTTTTTCGCCCTGAAGAAGATATCACAGGTTCAAGAAACTCCTCTCAGCTAGCACGTCTGTTCAAAGTGAAAGTAGCCTTGTCACCTGACCTGAATACAGCGCGCTGATTCGCTAAAATGGATTTATCGGCTTCTGAGTAAAAACAACAAGGGCGCTTGTCGGCTTCTGCAGTAAAACGTGACCTCGCGATGCCTTGAAAGTGGACAAAACCGTCTTTTTTGCCTAAACGTGTTTAGGGTTCAGATCGCGCTATATGTGGAGTATAATGCACGGCAATCAGCTCTTTTTTTGAAAGTGGCGTTTATCGGTTTTTGCAAATGAACTCTTCATATATATACACACACACATATATATATATATATATATATATATATTATAGTTATTATAATAGTCTTTGGTATCCACCTTATTTTTCAATGCAGATAAATACTGATTTTTTTGTGAATTAATTAATAAACAATTATTTATTCCCTTTTTCTTTTATTCAGTGATGTGTAGGCTATGTACATGCGTTTCTTTATCTTCCACATGTTTTTAATCATCTTCAGTAAAATGCAAGATCGTGAGATAAAAATATCGTCCTCCATCAAGTGTCAGGGGACGGCAGGGCTCGTTTCATCCGGTGCGCAGGAGGGGTATGGGAGGGCCGCTGGCGTCTGGGCGGCGGAGCGCGTCTCCGCATCCCTGCGCTTCGTCATCTGAATGAAGCATCGGGAGTTTTGGGGTCAGATCCTGCAGATAACCAGGTTCCTGTCTGTCTCTGTCATAGCATATAAAATCACGGGGAACACGTTGCCTGTTAGACTCTTGGAGAGGTGCTCTGGAAGAGATGACTGCAAGCATGATGATGCTCAGGCTGTGTGGACTCCTTCTTATATGCTCCACTGTAATAGGTAAGCAGGGCTTTACTTTCCTAATATTTGACTGTAATTGAATTTCTCTGTTAGGCTACTTGTTGACTTATTACTTTTATATGCTGTGGTGTCCAAAAGTGTGAGACCAAATGGTTTATTATCAAAATAAAATGTTCAGTAAAGTAGCCTAAATTTTTAATTTAAAGTTTTCACTCATATTGCTTTGCTTACAATGTCATTTGTATCGACATTTTTATGTTAGTTTATATCAGACAAATATGCACATTTTCAGAAATTTGTATATAGCCACCACATACAGTATATGCAATGTTATTCGGAAATATGGGATTTATTATACAATTTACATTTTAAACAAAGCTAATTTTATTATTACAATTTAATATAAAGTTTTCACTCATATTTCTGTGCTGACAATATCATTTGTGATGAAAATTTGGTATTACATCCTAAATTAGCATTTTCAGACATTTGCATGTAAATAGTCAAATATATGCACAATATTATAGGGTTTTAGGATTTGTTAATCTATAATTTTGATCTCAAATGTTCATATATGTTCCTATTTGTTGTTGTTATCTGCTTTTTATTTTTCTCTTTGTATTACTAAATTTATTGATTGGTTTGTTTAGTTACCTATTTTTAACTAATGCTTTTTTCTCTTGCTTTGAAAATTGACATGGCATAGAGGATGACTCAATCTACATTTGAAACATAATTATTTCAACAATTACGGATCAAAATGCATATATATATATATTATGAAGGAGAATGTTTCCCTTTCAAAAGAAAACCGTGTTGCTCTGTTCTTTGTAGCTGGATGTCTTTGATCGCTTATACAGGAAGAAATATTGCTTTGCAAGCGAAGCCAGTCATTTCCAATGTCCATTTACTCTTTTCCTCATCTGTAAGCCAATATTAGTAGCAGAGCTATTTGTGGTAGTGATGCAATAAAATAATCCTGTGGCATAAAAAAAAATCTGAATTAAAGCTGCACTTGATTAAACCACAAATAAATTTAGAAAATAAATAAAAGGTTCCTTATTAAAATATGGTTTCATGAAGAACCTTTAATATCTATGGAACCTCTGCATTGCAGAAAAGGTTCTTTATAGATTTTAAAGTCTTGTTGTTGTTCTTTACGCAACTGAAATAAATCACCCGAAATGTTCTTTGGGGAAACCAGAATTTTTGGAATCCTTTGGAATTTTTTATTTTTAAGAGTATAGAGCTCATTTGTTAATAATTTGGTTATGTGTTTTCTTTCATGTTAGATGCTAAATTAGACATCATCAGTAGTGACCAAGATGTGCGGGTGGGAAGCGACACTCTGCTCTTGTGCAAAGGTTGGTGTGTTTAGTACTAAGAATTGACTAATTGACACAAATAATGACCCCAAATTATATCTGTACTTAATGCTGTTGCATTAGCTGCAAAATATTAGACTAAGTGGAAATAAATGATGCTATTTTGGGAACAAATCAGAGCTCAGTGTGACTTTTTCTGACTGTATGAGTTCTCCTCAAGTGTCAGCAATACATTTTGCTTTCATTTTGACGTATCTGTCATTTGAAACCTAACAAACATGTTTTTGTGAAGTAGTTTGTTTGAAAAGCTTGTGGCTTGGCTTGTGCTTCTTTAAAATAAATGGCACTTGGTTTGATGTTTTGTTACATTTTTTGTCCAAATACTTTTGGAGGCCTTTGAATATCATACAACAGTCTGTACCAGTCAAAACATTTTTAATATCGCTGATGTAATGTTACTGTCATAAAATAACCAAGAAGGTGTTGTTTTTGATGTTAATCTGTGAAATATTCAAATATTACATATGAAATAAATATAAAGTATTACAATAAATATGAAATATTACAATATGAATTGTAATATTATCTGTATATTGTCATCATTACAGGCACAAGTTATTGCTGCCTACCACATTTGTTGTGTCTGCTTAACTGAATAAATAACTAACCATAACTTGTATTATATTATAGCTAATTAATGCCATATGGACATTCATACACTCATCACTGGTGGATAACAGAATACTTCCTAAATGTAACATTGAAATAAGTTGTTTTTGGAAAGACGTTTTGAAACTTATGTATTGTGAAATGTGACATACAAATAAATTATTTTCTTTTCTATGTTCTGTTGCGTGGTTCAGCTGATTCAGAGGGAGAAATTAGTTGGTTGAAAGGTGGAGAAGACATTGATGAAGATCGCTATGTAGTCGAGAAAATTGATGAAACCTCGAGTAAACTGATCTTGAAGAACTTTGAATTAGATGACGCTGGAATCTATACCTGCGTGTTTGAAAATGACCATGGCACAAAGAAGATGAACTACCAGATCTATGTCTACCGTAGGTTCTCTTCTTCTGGTTCTTGTTCCTAAAGACTCATAATGTTCCTGAGCACATTTACTTGTGGATTCACAAAATTTGTGAATGATTCTCATGTGAAATTTTGTCCAACAATCAGAAACACCGGACTTTGGCAACACACCGGTGTACCATGAATTTCTGGTGAACCAGACAGCGACCATTCCTTGCGTGGTGTCTGGGAAGCCTGCGGTGGATATCCTCTGGTTTCGGAACAATCGCATCGTGAATGATGACGGTAGGGGGGATGGCCATGCTGCAGGTTCTTCTGCTCTTTTATGTGGTATGGGTGTCTCCTCACCTTCGTAGCTATCATTGATGCCTGTAGATGGCAGAATGGCAGGATGGCGATGGTGGACGATCCAGCGATGGGGTGGGAGGGGCCTGTGCATTCATTTTCTGACCGATTTGCAAACAAATCGACAGATGTTTCCCGCTAGAAGTTGGGAAACATCTGTGAACAGTTTGTTTTAATGTTTTTTCTTCCTGTCTGACGGTGAGGCCAAAAGAAACAGCTCCAAAACATCAAGCCCTGCCCCATTTCAAGTAAACGCCACCATTGACAACCTTAATGGGACAGTTCACCCCAAAATGAAAAGTCTATTATTATTTACTCACATTTCTCCTTTTGTGTTCCACAGGGTTTGGAATTATATGAGGGCTCTTTGGAAAAACGTGTGGCAACATTTCTACGTAGTGATATTATGTTGGTCCTTACATGTCTCACAGCACTTTCGGTGTGAAATGTCCAGTGATTGTCGCTAAATTCCAGCCCGAAACAGATGAGCGTGAATGTGGCAGCGATTTATTACATTCAGTGTTTACATATCGCAAACACTTTGAAATGTCTAATGAGTCTGAGATGCGTTCGCTAACATGTTTCATTCTGTTCCTTTTTGCAAATTTCACAACACTTTCAAAGTGAGATGCCCAATGCAGCTAAAAGCATGTTTGGTTTTTATCCAAAACAGGTCGAGTTAAAAAAATTAAATGCCTGGTGAATGGCGCTAAAAGATTAATGCTCTATTTTAAAAAAACCTACACTCTTAAAATAAAGGTGCTTCATGATGCCATAGAAGAACCTTTTTGTCTAAATGGTTCCATAAAGAACCTTTAACATCTGAAGAACCTTTCTGTTTCACAAAAGGTTCTTTGTGGTGAAATAAGGTTCTTCAGATTACAAAAAGGTAAGAAAGAGATGGTTCTTTAAATAACCTTTGACTGAATGGTTCTTTGTGGAACCAAAAATGGTTCATCTATGGCATCGCTTGAAGAACCTTTTGAAGCACCTTTATTTTTAAGAGTGTACTACCTACAATTAGCTATTAACAAACACAAACGTGAGTTTAAATCACTCTTTTTTTATGCCATTTTAACTTGCGTCTTTGAGCTCTTTTATAGAGTGTTGAGTTGTATTTAACAGGACTTGTAACTGAGCACTCCACATCACAAGTTCAGTGCTGTACCAGGTGAGCTACTGAGCAAGTTTACAATGTCAGACAAGCGTATGGAGATGCAAACGTACTGTGCAAGGACTCGTAAAAAAAAAAAACTGGAATCATAATTTCTGTGAGAAGTAATAAAAGCTGTTGGAGTTTTTGGAGAGACATGTTTTTCCCAGTGAGCCTATTTTGCTAAATAATGAAACAGTTTTTGGTTTTGGGGTGAACTGGACTTTTAAGAGTGTGCGTGTGGGCTTTTAAAGGCTTCGTCTCATGAATCTAAAGTAATAGTATTGCATCTTTGACATTCCTCATGCTCTACCTTCCCTCTTCTCTTTGTACAGGACGAGGTCATCTCAGAATCCTGCCAGATAAGTCTCTGCAGATTCTGAGAATTCAGCAGGAAGACAGTGGAACCTATACTTGTGAAGGCAGGATCAAGGGACGCCCCATAATAAGGGAGCTCCAGATCTCTGTTGTTGTTAATGGTGAGGACATAGAGGAATTAATCATGTTTGTTCTTAATGTGGTCAGGCTGGATATATCCTCTTAATATCTGCTTTACACATCCCATTCTCCAGAGCCGCCGACTGCCCTGATTCACCAGGAAAGAAAAAGTGTTTTTGCCGGACCCAACAGCACTGTGTCTATAGCCTGCCTGGTCAATGGAGTACCCCAGATATTTCATGGATACTGTGTGTATATCAGTAGAAAATGCTGTAATATTTCCTACATGCTTACCTATAATCCTTAGTCTCAGTCTTTTTATATTTGTGAATCTGCTTTTGAAGTCAAAAGTTCTAGTTCTTACATGTTACATGCAAATAATCCATCCTGACTACTTCTATCGCTCCATTTTAAAACCTAGTGAGCTACCTACATAGGCAGCACGCCCTGATTCACCAGGAAAGAAAAAGTGTTTTTGCCGGACCCAACAGCACTGTGTCTATAGCCTGCCTGGTCAATGGAGTACCCCATCCAGATATTTCATGGATACTGTGTGTATATCAGTAGAAAATGCTGTAATATTTCCTACATGCTTACCTATAATCCTTAGTCTCAGTCTTTTTATATTTGTGAATCTGCTTTTGAAGTCAAAAGTTCTAGTTCTTACATGTTACATGCAAATAATCCATCCTGACTACTTCTATCGCTCCATTTTAAAACCTAGTGAGCTACCTACATAGGCAGCATAATAGGTATAAACCGACAAGCTGCTGCATTTTTAGAGACCTTCTTTAGGCTGATTTCTAAAGCAAGGCAAGTTTATGTACAGTATATAGCACATTTCATACACAATGGCAGTTCAAAATGCTTTACATAAAAGTGATGCATAAGAAATAAAAATAACCATAAATAAATAAGAAATGAAAATGGGAAAACTTGATTTAAAATGTATTTAAAACAAATTATAAATCGATTATAAATACTGAAAAAATTGTTCAATCAAGTAATAAAATTACTTTCACCCATAAGCATTTTTGTGCTTATGGTGTTATTTTAGAAGCATTCAAAATCAGTTGTAGACAGCAAGGCAGCTCAGTAATGTTTGGAACAGAGCCTATATGGCATGTGTTTACACATATTCTTTAGTCTTAGAGTCCATCTTGTCATTTGTATATTTGGAGTTTCCTTTTGTCTCTTAGTTGTTAGTTTTCCTACCATGAGTATATTTGTGTTGTCTTAATGAACAATAGTGGCAAACAGACTGTGTTTCTGCATCTTTCCCCTCAGCCCTTCCACCTCTGACCAGTCCCGTCACAAATACAACTCTGATAAAAGTGAGCTCACCATCTCTGCAGTGACCAGGAGTGATTTTGGAGATTATGTCTGCATGGCTACCAATAAGATCGGGGAAAACACCGCCACATTTATTCTGGATGTCTCAGGTAAAACAAGACTCTCTTAGAAAACCTAAAATGAAGTGATGTGTTTATACTTTCTGAAAGTGCAGAGGCATTGAATGTGGCAGTTGGTCTGCATTCATTTGTTTTTAGTCAATATACAGTTACAAACTTTAACATGATATCAAAATTGACCCCATTTACCTTCTTAATTAATGTTTACTATCCTAATGAAAGTCTTTATGGCCAGTAAGTTTTGGCAGTTGGCAGTAAAAAGCTACTAAATGGATTATTTGGCTGTGAACACCCATTTTTCATGATCCTATCAATCAATTCCTGAAGAATAAAATCAAGACAAGCAAGCATATTCTTTCTGAATATCCTGTTTCACTGCTTAAGTCAAATGAGTTGTGAAACGTGTGTCATGCTGACTGTAAACTGCAGTGAATTTGTGTTTACGGCTCAACTTGTTTATTTTCTCCTCTACTTTATTTCCCTTTCTTGGCAATTTTGTTTAGCCAATGATTTATTCCAAGAAAACCTTTTACTACAGACACAAACACAGATATGGGGAATTTGGTGCCATGCAAGCATCAAATTGACACTCTCCAATAGGCCAGATGGCCCAGACCCAAACAAAACACATTTTGACCATTTTGTAAGATATAAAAATAGATATTTAATGAATATATTTCCATAGTTGTTATATATTTATGGTTCATTGTATATATTTGATATTTATTATTTAACTATGGAAGATAGGTAGTTTTTTTTTATTGGAATCGACATAAGAAATTGTCTTTCTTCATGCCTAAAATGTTCTAAAATAATTGCCATTTCAGTCATGCATATACATAATTTAATTTGATTAAATTTTTGTCTTATTGATCATTATTCAGAGCGTCCAACTGTAGTTTTGGATCAACCCAAGCTGGTGGTTATTCCAGGAGAAACTGGATCTGTGATCTGCAATGCCACAGGACATCCAACACCAACCATACAGTGGGTCAGGAAAACTAACAAAGAAAAAAGGGTGAGAAACATACAGTATACATTTTTGTTTGCAATTACAAAACGTTTTGGAAATATGTTTAAGTTAATAAAATCTTGCACGGATTAAGGGAAATATCATTATAATTGATGGTGGTGGCGACTAGGAGGGATTCTATTTCTACAGGAAGTTTGACCCACGTACTCTTCTCTTCAGTATGAATGACTTTTTCCTGTCTCTTATTGTCTTTCCTTTTTGCACGAACATGTGTGGGCAGACGAATGTGGAGGATTCTGAGCTGATTCTTGAAAATGTAATGCCCTCTGATGGCGGCTTGTACTCCTGCATAGCCAGCAATACGGCAGGAACAACCACTGAGGACTTCCAGCTGATAAGTAAGGCTCTTGTAGTGGCTTCAGTAGTAGTTAACTAACTTTGATTTGTTGATGTCTTTAATTTCTGCATAAACTTTCAATATTGCTTCCCATTAAAAATTATATTCCTCTCTCTCAAAAGCCTGGCCTGGGACACCCGCTAAATTCAGTGTGGCTCCGGGGCCCTCATCTTCTGTCCTCATCCAGAGTGCCTCAGTGCAAGATGGAGGGTCCTCTATTACCCAGTACATCCTTCAGTGGAAGAAACCGTCTGAAGACACCTGGAGTCAAAGCATTGTCAAGCCCACAAGTAAATAAGTCACTCAGAAAAGTGAAGTTTGTTTTGATGGTTTTGTACATTCAAATGTGTGATGAAAACGCTTACATTTGTAGATCCCCTGGTGATCACGGGCCTTGAGCCGTACACAGAGTACTTCATTCGTTTTGCAGCCAAAAATTCTAATTTCCAGGGGAACTTCTCCACAGAACACAAGATCTTCACACAGTCCCAACGTGAGTATCAGCAAAGTTCTCTACTGTCTGTTCACTTCATCTGCTTCATATCCACCATTTTTGATGTTGATAATATTATTATTATATTGTTTTAACTTTTTATGCCATTGGCAGGCCACATGGAATCTGCACCCAATTTAGCATGCAGCTTTCTTGATTTTTATCTTAAATAAATTGAGAGGCTACATGCATTATTTGTACTTTCTAAAAAAAAAAAAGAATTTGTCACACCATTTGGACCATTAGGACCATACGATATCTGTATCTACATATGTATCTGTCTGCAGATTCAGTTTTGGAGTGGCCATTGGTTTATAGGCCCAACTATTATTTTTAGTGCCGTCAAACGATTAATCGAGATTAATCGCATCCAAAATAAAAGTTATTGTTTACATAATATATGTGTATACTGTGTATATTTATTATGTATATATAAATACAAACACATACATGTATATATTTAAGAAAATTTTTATGTTTATATATTAAATATATTTATATAAAATATAAGAATATAAATATATATACATGTAAATATTTTCAAAATATATACTTGTGTATGTGTGTGTGTATTTATATACATAATAAATATACACAGTACACATAGTATGTAAACAAAATCTTTTATTTTGGATGCGATTAATCGCGATTAATCATTTGACATTTATGACATTAATCATTTGACATTATTTTTCAATAGTGAAATACATTTTATTAAGACAATTTTATTACAGTTGATACCATGTTATGTATCAATGCCTGTTTGCTCATCACATTTGTTCATGATTTGCTTCTGCTGCCCATTCTTCCTCTAATTGCCACCTGCTTGATGATGACCATTCTCCATGCATTACGACCTGCTCCTGGTCCCGGGGCCCATCCATTGCCTTATTCTGATCTTCCTTTGTAGATGGTAAATCAAAATTTTAAATGCATACATCTCCAGTTGATAGGCTAAAACACAAGCCTAATTGTTTACTGTGATATAGATGTGTGAAAATGAGTTTACCTGCATGCTTTCAATGCTGGAGAAAGCGAGAACAGAGAAAATTGCTACTTCAGGTTTCCTTCAGCATGAAATCAATGTTGGTCTGCTGCTCTCGCACATCTATACTATAGTTAATAATTTTGGAGCTTATCCACTGGATTGTCAATTACTTAAAGGGTTAGTTCACCCAAAAATGAAAATTAGCCCATGAATGACTCACCCTCAAATCATCCTAGGTGTATATGACTTTCTTCTTTCAGACGAATCCAGTCGGAGTTATATTAAAAATGGTCTTTGATCTTTCAAGCTGTTTAATGCCACTCAGCGGGTGTTGCATGCATCCGTCCAAAAGCAGTTACATGAAATGCGCCCATCCATAAAATAAAGTGACTCACACAGCTCCGGGGGGGTGAACAAAGGCCTTCTGTAGCAAATCGATGCGTTTTTGTAAGAAAAATATCCATATTCAAAACATAATAATCACTTTAATGTAGCTTGCGCTCACTGTTGTACACTGGAAGAAGTTACGAGCGGATGACGTATAAGGTCAGCTTTGCGCATGTGCCGCTCAGAAGTGACGCATGCAGAAGCACAGGGGAGAGATCAAAACAAAACAACGGTCAAGAATTAGAAGTACAAAACGAGGATTTGTAAAGAAGAATGTCGGAGGATTTCGATATAAGCCAAGAGGAGACTGGTTTTCCTTTGCTAAAGTAAGGAAACTTTGCATCCTTTGCTCCTGTTGACAAACATTGGTTTTCACGAGACTCACTGGCGCATGCGCAGCGCTGACCTCATAGGTCATTCCCCCGGAACTGCTTCCAGTGTACAACAGTGAGCGCAAGCTAGATTAAAGTGATTATTACGTTTTGAATATGGATATTTTTCTTTAAAAAAAATGCATCGATTCACTACAGAAGGCCTTTGTTCACCCCCCGGAGCCGTGTGAGACACTTTTTTTTTATGGATGGGCGCATTTTATTTAACTGCTTTCGGACAGATGCATGCAACACCCGCTGAGTGATATTAAACAGCTTGAAAGATCAAAGACCATTTTTAATATAACTCCGACTGGATTCGTCTGAAAGAAGTAAGTCATATACTAATAGTCATAGGCTAATTTTCATTTTTGGGTGAACTAACGTATGATGCTGACAATTTAACTTTAATATAATACAGAGGCCAACAGTGAAACATCAAATATAGCATTCTTAGATTAATTAGGGTTGGGTGATAAAAATTTACAATCATTTTAATGTGCTTTTTATTTGGCCAATGACTAGTTTTGTAAGAAATCACACACTTTTTACTTTCACACATCTCTTCCTTGTGTTCATTTAATAAATTAGTATAGAAAACATGCATTTTAACTGTACCTTTACTGTATTTTAGTTTTTGCGTTAAAATGTTAAATTATTTTAGAAATTAGCTGTTTAAGAGCAAATTAAATATCAATATTTAGACTACCATTCAAAATGTTGTGGTCAGTAGGATTTTGTGTGTATGTTCTTTTGAACTTGAATCCTTTTGAAAAAAAAAACAGAAAACATTTGTATTACAGTTTCCACAAAGATATTAAGCAGCTCAACTGTTTTAAACATTGAATCAGCAAATTCAAATGATTTCTGAAGGATCGCGTGACACTGAAGACTGGAGTAATAATGTTGAAAATTCAGCTTTGGCATCACAAGTAAAAACATTAATATATGTTAAAATATATTCAAATAGAAAACGGTTACTTCAAATTTTAATAATATTTCACTGTTTTTATTGTAGGCCTATTTTTGATCAAATTAAAATAATAAAAATGAAAATTGTACCAACCCCAAACTTTTGAATGATATTGTACAACAAATATCATCAAAATAAAATAAATAAATAAATATAAAATAAAATAATACATTTATTAATACCAATATCACCCAGCCCAAAGATCAACCTGTTACACTGTTTCTTTGTTCCTTGTGCGGCATTGAACAATGTAGCCAATCACAGACATATCTGTTGATCTCTCCAACCCAGTGGCCAATCAGAAATGTTAGAGTTTTCAGAATTCACTCACCGTTGAAAGTGCCGGAGTTTTGCACACTTGTGATTCATCTCATAAGTGCAGACGTGATGTAGCCTAAATAAGAGATTCATTGTGTAGTTTAGAGAGCTTCATTGATTATAACGGAACTTTGTGAGGTCGCAATGAACTAAGATGAGTGATGCTTTTAGTGATAAAAATGGGAGTGCGCTTTGCCTGCTTTCTAGGCTGTAATCCATTCCGAATTAGTATGAAACTTTCGTTTTTCGTACACATACATGCTGCAACGTTTTGGGAATTACATCAGCATATTTATGCTGGATTCATTCTAGAAATACGTCTCAGGTTACTTATGTAACCATGGTTCCCTGAGTAGTGAATGAGACACTGCGTCCTCTAGGGGTCGCTATGGGGAACGCCTTGTCATGACCCGTGTCTGAAGCATACATTGAAAAAACACCATCAACACGTTGGCCGGCGAGAGCCATGATATCACTACCGGTGCGACTATAGTATAAATAGGCACCGGGAGAACACATCATCCACTTCTTTGTCTGAAGCTTGCGTCCGAAGCATGGCAAGAAACCTAGAGGATGCAGTGTCTCGTTCCCTACTCAGGGAACCATGGTTACATAAGTAACCCGAGACGTTCCCTTTCATGGGAACTTCGAACTGAGTCCTCTAGGGGTCGCTATGGGGAACAGTATACCCACTTTTCATATCCCATTTGGATTCATAAACTTAAATCACTGAACCCAAATGGTATGAATGAGGAATTAGATCTTTGTCTTTCTTTAATGAACTATGGTTGATCGTATTCATTTTTAATATTCTATATAATAAATTGAGTATTTACAGTGTGAAAAACAATGATAGTTTATGACGATGTATTTCTGATGTTCTTAATTATTGAATTTTCCATTGTTATACAATTTAAAGTTAATTGGTGGAGTAGATATTGATGATTGATAGGATAAACTATAAGTTTGTATAATAGTGATATATACAGTATGTGGTCCTGGGTAACTATTGTTTTAGTCACGGGTATATTGTGAGGTGTACTAGTGGATGTGACGTGTTGTGTTGGATATATATACTGTATATATGTAAATTGTCCAGGGTTTAAGTGGAAATGATTTAATGATTGTGGTAATTGAACATTGGCTAATGAATGATGACGTCAATATAATTTGTGATTTTAAAAGTGGGTGGAGGGATTGAATTGCTTTACACGCTGAGGAAGGCTTTGAGCCGAAACGTTTGTGTCTTTTCCCATCAGTAATGAATGTAAAATAAAAGAAAAAAGAAGATTGTTCTCGTGAGTGCGGATCATAATTTCCTATACTAAGTAACTCAACAGATTGACGCACCAAAATAAAAAGATCAAGTAATGCAAGAG